AGGAGGAGGATGCTGTCTCCTTCATTTCGCGGTTGTTCCCCAAGCTCTCTCCTCTCTCTTGCAGTTTGTGCTGAAGCACAAAGAGTTCGCTCATCTCCGGGAGGTGAAGGTGTTTCCCAACGCCCTGAACCCGCACAAGGAGGAGTCCCGGGCACTGGTGAAAGCCATGATTGACCAGGTCATGGCACTGCACGAAGATGTGAAATGGTTTCACATCGGGTGTGATGAGGTGGGACTTCTCCTGAGCCAGGAATTTTTTTTCTTGTGAGAAATGATGGTAAGGGACGAGGCTTCTGCGTTTCAGTGATGCCTGGGCCATGTTTGGATCGGATTTTGGGAACAGAAAACAACTCAAGCCAGCGTAGAAAAGTCCTTTATACAATAAATAATTCCAGTAGCACAGGATGTCATTGATCTGAGTGTAGTATTGAAAGTATTGAAAACACTTAAAGCTAACTCAGCATTTGGGTTTAGGTTAAATGAGTATTTAAAGTGAGGTACCAACTGGAGGTATTCACCAAGAATAATTTGAGTTTGGATCTAAGATGTTAGCTCGTTGTTCTGGCCAGGTTATTCAAAATAAGCCCTTCTGTGGTGGGAAGTGTTTATTGTTTTTTTTTATCTTAGTAGTTTGTCTCCTTGAGGAGGAGAACCTCAGGTTTTCTCCTTTCTCAGGGCTTTCTAAAACCATCCCTGTGGCAGCAGATCCCTGAAATTCATTGGGATCACCTTAACTGTCCTGTTCAGCATTTTGAATCCTCTTCTTCAGGAACAAATGGCAAGGTCAGAAGGCGACTTGCAAGTTTTTGTAAAACAAAATACTACTTCAGCATGTCATATCTTTGCCATAGGCTTTGAACATTGGATGATTTGATGCCGCTGTGACAAACCCTCTCCTCCTATTCCTATAAAAGAAGTCAGGATTATTTGCTTGGTGTTTCAGGTCTACTACCTTGGCGAAGGAGAGGAGTCAAAACAGTGGCTGCAGCAACAAGATAACACCCTAGAGAAGCTGTGCTTATCCCACATAAGAGCAGTGGCCAGCTGTGTGGCCTCATCGTACCCTGCCGTGACGCCCATCGTGTGGGACGACATGCTCAGAGGGATGAGTGAGGAAGCCTTGGCAGGTGTGTGACCAGTGCTGGGCTGTGTCAGACCTCGTAGCGTACAAAAAATTTTACGTGGGCAGTTAAAGTGGGTTTTTTGACAGGTGAAAGTAATGAAAACAAGAAATCTGAGAATAGTTGAGATATGATCCATTAGGCTAGACAGCAGAGACATGTAGTCCTTGGCTACGTCACAGGCTTTTTGTATTACTGCGGGCAGGTCTCGGCACGTTCTCTTCAGTTTTCCAGCTGGTAATACAGTGATAAAACAGTCATTGTGCAGTAGTTGCCAGCAATTCTACATTTTTTATACATTAAAAAAACCCCAAACCTATTAGCATTGGTGGTTGTACTCTGAATTTGAATGCTTCTCACCACCTTCTAAAGTTAGTGGTTGCTCCATGCAGTGTCTGGTTCCCGTGGTGCAGACTCACACGGAGAAGCTGCGACCCTGTGAGGCTCTTTGGCAGTGTGTGGGATTGTAGCACACAGCATGAGGAGCTCTGATACTGAAGAGCTGTGTAGCCCCCCCAGCAGCGACTGACCTTTCCATGGCTTTAAGAGGGGGCAGTCATCCCCAGAAACTTGGAGGGGCCCCATGCAGTTTCCACAAGAGCAGCAAAGCATCCAGCCAAGTGCACTCTACTACCAGAGGCAATGACTAAACAAATTAAAATGGGATGCTGTTAAAAATGCTGAATTTCTGTAGAATTTACTGCAGTTTCTCAAGGAATTGGCTTCTCGTGTTTAAAACTAGTCAGGGAGTTGATTATAAAGGGATTTGAAGCTAAACCTATATCTTTATTTGTACTTTAAAAGCATTTTGAAAAGGCAAGTTCTCTACAAACACGGCTCAGACAATCTCTTGACGTAAGGGGTGAATATTTCCTTTGAATTCAGCTGAAATCTTGCATGTAGAGTCTGCAGCTCCGACAGTTCAACCCAGCAGGTATACTGACAAATTCAAGGGACTAAGGATGAGATGGGCTTGGCATGAAATGGGATCTCTGGTGAGTTGTCACTGCTGACCCATATTAGTGGTTTCAAGGTGTCTAAGGACTAAGTGGCCCCGGCAGGTGAACCTGCACGCTCAAAGCCCTGGCCAGGCTAAAAATGCCCATGGGCACCTCAACTGTAAGTGAAGATGTCTAGTGAGAGGCCACAGCTAGTTCTAGTCACATGCTACTGCACCACTAATACGTACTTAGTTCTCACTTTTAACTGTCTGGTCGACATTACTGAGAATAACTCTGTTCCTTTCAGAGTCTGGGGTCCCACAACTTGTGCAGCCAATGATCTGGGATTACGCAGCAGACCTCGATGTGGAGGGCAAAGGTTTGTACTTCTCTGCGGAGCTGCGTGGAAGCAAAGAGCCCTGTTACCCGTTAAGCAAAACAGCCAAACCAGCGTAGTATGTTTAAAACATACCATAGCTGGACACCAAAAAACCTATTTTTGTTAAATCCTTTTTAGTGCTTTAGTAGCATAAACATACCTTTGTTTGAGTTCACATAATAGCTGCCATTTTTAATTTTCTTTTCTGTTTGTTTCTCCTGTGAAGGACTTGCACTGTCTGCTGCTTAATTCTTTCAGCTGATCACTGACGGGCGACTGAGAGGTTTTGCGCAAGCACTGTTACATTAATTCTCCATGTATTAAAGCCAGTGGGAACAGATAATTCCATATTGAAAGGCTCTACAAAAACAGCTTCACGGCTTCATACATTTATAGAACTCAAAGGAAAAACTCCTTAGGAATCTAACGTGCATACAAATATTTCTTTGCTGAGAGAAGAATCAGATGTGCGTGCTTGTTACATGCCCACAGTGCTTAGCACTGAAGCCATTTAGCAATTCAAGGTGTGGAAGATCGTAGCTGGACATGTGAACACAGGAGGGCAGTCACCAGAACAGGTTGCTTAGAGAGGATGTCAAATCTCCCGTCCTTGCTGATGCTCAAAACTTGATGGGACAAGGCTCTGCAGCCCTGTTGTAACTGGACCTGGGTTATTCTCAGTTGGAGCATTACAGTCAAGGTTGAGAAAAACTTGTCCTCTTGGTGTTCTTTTGTGTCTCACTGCAGTGCAGCTCATAGAGAAGTATCGTAGATGTGGTTTCTCCAAGGTGTGGTTTGCCAGTGCTTTTAAAGGAGCTACAGGAGTGAATCAGTCTCTAACGCTTATTGGACACCACTTAAAAAACCACCTTCAGTGGCTCCAAGTGGCCAGCAGTAGCCCTGGTGATGTCCTTGAAGGTATCGCACTGACAGGCTGGCAAAGGTAAGGAACATCCTTTTAAATGTTTCCAAAGATCACGTGGAAGCAAACTTCCCCTAAAAAACTCTCAGAGGTCCAAGGGTTTTAGAAGGGAACTTTGCAACCCTTCCTCTTGGTTACTGCTGGGCCTCGCCTGCTGCCTGCAGAGGGTGAATTTCAGAGTTCCAGTCCACTGCTACAGCATTAATCAGCAGGAGCAGGGGCGTTGGCAGACACCAACGACCGCAGAGTTGAAGGCTTGAATGTGCTTTGTGCCACTTTGAACTGCTTGTAGGAAGTGTAGTTAATGTACGGTGTGGATCTGAATGTCTGGTGTAAATTCAAGTAGAATGAAGTTGCCCAAGAAAGAAGAACTTGTTAATGTAACGAAGGAGTAAAAGGTTTTTCTGCAACAGTCAGGAGGTCTAAGGTAATACCAGGGAGCTGAATTCCAATTTCTGACCCTAATTTGGCTTGAAAAAGTAATTTGGGTTATATCTGTTCTTATTAGTAAAACAGGAATACTTAGCTTTTCAGAGGGACAGGGTGCCTACTCTGAGACAGCAACTGGTGTTTCTAAAGCTCTCTGAATTTTAGGGGTTGAAATATTAAAGCCTCACACTTTTTAGTATGCTTTAGCAGTGAAATGTCTAATTAAGGAATGTTTTCTTCTTTAGGTATGATCACTTCTCTGTTTTGTGTGAGCTTCTCCCTGTGGCAATTCCGTCGCTGGCTGTGTGTCTGCAGGCACTAGAGAACGGTACGGGGACAACTTCTTGGCTCTTAGCTAATGCCCAGCACGAGAGTGAAGTGGCCTTGCCCTAAGGTTGGCGCAGCCGTATTAGATTTTAAGGCAGTTTGGCTCTCTGATTGTGATCTGAACAAGAAATTATACATGTTTGTGATGTGGGAGCAGAGAAGCTGCTTGGCCTAATTATTTAAAAATAACCATAGTATATATTAATAATTTGTTATGTTCTAACCTGCAAATGGTCACAAACTTCTTCATGCTTATACTGGGGAAAAAAACCAAAACAACCAGAGTTGCTTTTGAAACTGATTTGAAACACGACTAGTATATAAGTGATACTAATTTTGTTTAGATTTAGATCCTGTTTGCATGTAAAAGTTGTTTTAACTAATCAATTTTCTTAAAATTTACTTAGGCAGCACACTGGTAGACTACTTCCCGTAGACTCTTGTCTCTTTAGAGGCAGTTACTAACAGAATTTTTGTCTTTTTGCACTTCTCGTTTTCAGAATAAAACACCCACAACCTACTTGGTTTTAACTAAGGCACTAAGAACATTCAGCACCCTGAGTGGAAAGCTCAGAGCACAAGACGATCATGTGAAAGACAGTGTACTCCTTCCACCCCCAGATTTTTTTCCCTTGTTCTCCTTGTTTTCCATTTTAAAAAATCCTCATTCAAGAAGAACTACTAAGCCGGTGCAGAGTGCTCTAGAAAAACCCTCTTTTATCAACATTTTGGTTATTTGGGCTCCTTTTCCTGATTTGCAATGTCTTCCGTCAGGTGGCTATTCTGAAAAGATTAAGGAAAATGTGGAAAAGCTCCTGGGAATGTCCAACCTGGAAACTGATACTTTCATGAGGTAAAATTCCAGCTGCAGGATTCAGATGCTTCTGCTTGCGTGGTAAGTTCGGAAACTAACGGATCCTCTTTGGACAGCACAAATCTGGGGACCTTTCCTGGGAGCAATATCCTTCCCCTTGTGACGCAAGTTAGTTTCTACCTCAAGTCATCAGTGGATGAACTTCTTGACAGGAACAGGTAATAAGGTTTATGTGGATTCTCTGGCTGTCTGCAGGAGGGTTGGAGCTGTATCGGCTCAAAACGAGGCATAACTCCAGCAAAGCGATTTCAGGCATCGCATCCTGATAGATTGACACCTCAGCAGAACGTAGTATTTAGATGCAGACTGAAAGTATTTCAGCAGAATTCCTAAATGCTACCTGCTGTCTTATTTCAAGAATCTAGTTCTGTCCTGAATTAGATCTGTTAATTATTTTTTTAATGGTGTGGTTACAAAAAAGGAGCTTGAAATAAAACTTAAATTGCAGCAATGATCACTTATTCTCATCTGCCACAAACAGACTTTTACAAGGTAGTTACAAAGATACGTAGAAATAAATTTACTGACTCCTTAAGCAGTATTTCTCTTTGTGCAGGAGTTCAGCTAAAGCCCTATCACCTCCCTGTCGGCCTACCAATACATGTCACTGCTGTCGCAAAACCTGCTCATACTAACATCCATTTTCAGATACGTCACAGGCTGGTTCAGCCCCTACCACAGAAAAAGGAAGATTATTCATCCTATAATAATACATCACTTTCAGCCAGACGCAGTAAGGTAACACCACTTATTTATCATTATAAGAGAAATAAAGTCTGAGGTATTTTGGGCACTCAATTTTTGAGTTCTCGCTGCTTCCTTTAATTATTTCAGAAGCATCAGTGGCAATCAGACAATATGAAGAATTCGTAATATGGTTTTAAACAAAAGAACATGTTTATGTTTGTCTGCCTTCTGTTGAATAAATTATTTGACTACAAGTACAAAATCTCCAAAAAACTCTCCCTCAGATCTGGAGTTACTCCTGTGTAGAGGTGCTGCATCTTGCAGCAGTTGTTGGCCTCAGCGTAGCGGCTCCCCGTGGGCCACAGGTTCCAGGCAGGGTTTGGAATAAAACCAGACCTTTCCCGTCTCCCCGTCACCGTGGGTGCTTTTTGGAGCTTGTGCTAGACGTTACGCCAATTCACGCTAAATGGTGAATTTATGCATTTTTTTGCTGTGATAATGTCCAACTGCATCCAAAAAACGCTCTTCCTGATAAAAGCCAGAGTTAAATTCCCAACAAGTCTCACGGTGAGTTTTGGTTACAGTTAAAATGGGTACAGGGGTTTTTTGAGCTCACATTTCAGCACTTTAGAAGTCATTGCATAAGGTAAGTGCCAACGTTAATGGTACTTAGACACACAAACGGCATCAGCCTTTTGCTATCTGCACAAAATCAAGTCCACTGAGCTCTTGTAATAGATGCTTCTTTTCCTGTAAAGTCATTTTAAAGCCTGTACTTACTCCCTTTAAAAGCCCCAGTAAGTTAGCCTTCCCTTGAGGCAGAGCTCACCTGCAGACGTGGTTTGTTTTTTCCTTTTGATTTCCCCTTAGTCTTCTCTCCAAGTGGAACGCTGTGGTGCAAGACCTGCAAGCGGCCATGGAGCAAGTTTTCCATAAGTGTACTGTGGAGGAGTGGATGGAGGAGAATGTCCACCCCAGCCTACAGAAGCTGCAGCAAGTGGTAGATGATTTAGATGAAGCAATAAAAGCACAAAATCAGGGGCATTTCAATTAGTCTTATTCTATGGGATCTCACAGCTAGTGGAAATGGGAAACTAGTTATATAGCTGGAGGTTGTCATCGTGAGAGTTGAAGCAAGAACTGTGATTAAATGGAAGTGACCTAACGGCATAAAGGAATTTATTAGTATAACACATTTCAACTCTAATTTCATTATCCTGTCTTAACACATCGCTGAGCCTTAAATCACCTGTCCGGTAAGTCAGATTCGCTCCCCTTGCGTAACAGAATGCAGAGTGAGTCAGAACTCAGCTACCGTACAGGGCAGCAGTTTCTTCCAAATTCAGTATTTGTAGTAATACTTTCTTACGTAACAATAACCCGGAAAAGTTCTACACGTTCTCCTTTAATCAGTATCCAACACATCCTCCCTTTGCAATTTCCATAAAAAGAAAGATTTGGGATCTTCAAACTGCTTTAGGTCCTTACATTCTGTACCACGACTCCTGCATCTCTCAGCTGTGGCCAGGGCTGTGCCCACCACAAGTCCTCCCACAGCACCCAGCAGCTCGCTTTGTTGCAGATTTTGAGACTTTTTCAGGCTTTGAAAGGCATAAACCCATCAGCCTGAAATCCAGCTTGGCTCGGGAAATGAGCTGAGATGAGGAAATTGGCAGAAGCCCAAGCAAGGACTGGCCGTCTCGCTGCTCACACGGTCACAGCAGAGGGGGAAGGAGGACCCGTCCTATGCCAGTGCAGAGCAAGAGGGAGCACCAGGGAAGGATCTGTCACCAATAGCAAAAGTGACAATTTGAGGGACAACTGCCTTAACACATTGGGCTCCTTGGCTTTTGACCAAAGCATCCTCTCAGCTCAGTTCGGTTTCATCCCCGCAGACACTTTAAGGCTTCTACTTCACTATGTAAAACCTGAGTGGGACTCCAGGTTCATCCAGATTTGAAGCACGACTCAAGTTACTGAATGAGGGTGAAACGCTGAGTTTTATTCTGCTCTACTGTTGAACTTTTAATAATGTACAGCAACATATTTTGTGGACTTACCTGGAGCTACTTTTACCATGAGCATTCAAAATATTCTTTGTTTCACTTACTGCTTTCTTAAAAGTCTTATTTTGGAAGCATGGGTATTGATGTTTTCTTGGAACAACGTATTAGAAAGAGCGCAGCTCTAAATTCAGAAAGTACAAGAAGTGCAGCATAAGGCAAATCTCATTTAATGAGAGCTACAGGAATTAGGTCGACGTGCAGCTTTTTACCTAAAAGAATACGCTATGTATACCGCAATTCCAAAAGTAACATACCTTGAACTAGAGATTTTAATTTATTTTACTTTAATAAATCCTTTGATACTCAGAATGTTTGTGGAAACATGTCTGTCTGGTTGGGTTTTTTTGCACGTGGCATGATGGTTTGGTTTAAAGGGAAAATGGAAATACACTAACCCGTGGAGCTGGATCTGTCACCTTACATGACACTGAAAGCTGGGCTGCCGTGCTGTGAAAGGGTGAAAGCAGCATGAGCTGAAGGGTTTCCTCTGCTTCTGTCCTCCCCCCAGTAACTCCATCAGTAGGTCTGTACCAAGTGGTAATTTAGACAGCCATTAATATTTTAATATGTTTTAATTAAAAACAACATAAAAGATGACAGTGACACAAAACAAGTTACCAAAGTTGATTTTATCAGTGGGTTGGGTGTGGTTTTTTTAAAAAAGACAATATACAAGGCCTTGCTGGAATTCTACTTGCAATTTTAAAGTAGAAAATCAATTTCTAAACATTCTCCAGAAATATTTTTGTCTCTCAGCAGCCTACTACAGTGTCAGAACTAGCACTCTAGCTACTAGGTAAGCCAGCTTAGTTTTTGGTATCTGTGTGACATCATAAATACAGTACAAGAGTGAGATCTCAGCTAAATAGTATAAATACTTTGATTTTCTCTGAGACTTGCACAATTGATCCTAGTTACTGGAATATCTCATTTTCTGAAATAACCAGAATATTACATTATAGCTTAGATAACGCAGCCTCCTTGCTGTGTACAACACTCGCTCTTGCTTTTGGTCAGCACGAGGGCGAAGGCCGCGATCGCATCCAAGCACAGACACACGAGTCACTTCCGATGTGCCGCTCAAGCTGAAGCATCTCCCAGCTGGCCCTTATCACAGTTATATTAAAGGACATGATAAAGGGTTGGTTTTATGGGGCTCAGATCTTCTATGCAGGTTTTCAAATCCCTTGTAAGGCAAACTACAGCTGTCCAGTCTCAAGTCACTAGACAGCCTGAGATGCAAAAACCTTACATACATCTGGGATGCTCCTCTAGGAATATCTAATTTCCTAACCAGAACTAGTCTTTCAACATAGTTTCTTCTAGTACAAGCCACTTCCACATCAGACACACCTAAGGCTGCGCCTACTGGGCCTTTCAATACGCTGGGCCCAAGAGAAGTGAGGAAAACCATCCAAACCCGTGAAAAGCGGCAGGAAAAAGGATCAGAGTGAACTAGTCGAAAGAAGGAAGAAGAGAACCTGCCCTGAGTTCGCACGTGCTGTTCTGAACAGCCCCTCCAAGCTGCATCGCGTCGCTTTCTCTGCCGTAGAGGTAGAGCTGTGAAACGGTAACGCACGTGCTTTTAAGTGCTGAAGAATCTGCTGCCAGAAGCCATTTGCCACTGACCCCATGTGAAAGCAGACCACACACTTACCTCCTGCCCCGGTCACATCTCCTACAAGAAACCGTGTAAATATTTTCTAATTCAGCTCTTAAGATCATCCAATTCCTAAAGAAAACCTACTGAACGTTAACACAAGCAGTTTTAGCATGGTGAAAGAACTTGCAGCTATTTACAACTTTCTTCTTGTCCTGACACAGGCATGATCAAGTTTTGCTTCTAGACAGAAGATGTTGACTAACAGAGGTAGCTTTTACTAAAAAAAAATCTTGGAAAATTCATATTTTAACTATTTGTGAAACCATTGGTCAGAATGGAGGACACCACACACCTGGATTAAAACATGAGTGCAAGTTAAATTTTAAAAAAAATGTTATTATTTAGCATTTCAGTACCATTTCAAGTGAGGAAATGCTAAACAGATACAAGAAGGCTGCCATGTTGTTTGGCAAAAGTCTTTTCCCTACCTAAAGTAACAGATGTGCTTTCCTTCCTTTCTAAATCCACAGGTAAAACAGGAACTAGTGAGGTCTAGAAAGAGGTTATTCCATCTCGGGGTAGTCTATGCGCAGAAGTTAAGCAGAACAGGATTAAGCTAAAACACACCGAAGATGTTGAATCATCAGTGTGATCTTTTTGCCTATTTATGGCTCCTTGGCAAATGCACGACAAGGAAGACAGTGTAACAAATGGACCAACCTGATACTTCCAGTTCCAAGACAGTCCCTCAAACTTTACTTTCCCCTGGTATCTAACGGCAAGTCAGTCACAGAGAATATAAAACTGCCGCTCTTCTGCATCACCGAATTGCTGCTCTAAACCAATTTAGCAATACTTTCAGTCATTTATAACATTTCAAGGAAACCTCAAAGCATTGTGTTACAAGTTAGAAGTTCAACTCTTCTGCATTTCATAGACTGTACCCACGGCAGATGTTTGCGCTAAGTGGAAGTTCACATCTGTATCTCCATCAATGGGGCAGCAATACATCGTTTCAAGGCAATTCGTTAATAACCATTCCTAGGCAGGTTTGGTGAGCTGATAAAGTTCAAAAGCCAGCTCTGCCCACATGCAGGAACTAAGGCAACAGAGTTTAAGAAAAAAAAACAAACCCACAACAGAATTTGCTTTAGACTCTACAACAGCAATACTGGGAGTGTGGATCTTGGAAGCAGTTTAGCACTAAAAAAAGTGCCCCAAGAGATTCCTCCCATTGTAAACGCACACGTGGAGAAATGCCCAGGTCAAAATCACGAGGAATTTCTTTTTCTAATGAACTTTGGTGTGTTTTCCAGACATTTGAAAGCCTCTGCTTTCTTCAGCTCATGGCGACTCTTAATATTTATCCTGTGGTTCATCCGCATCACTGGCCTCGGTTTCGCTGCTCTGAGAGAGATCACGCGGGCTCTCTACTCTGTCCAGTTCCAGAAAACTAATGATGAGCTTGGCAACTGCTTCCACATCACTGTGGGAAAGAAGGAACAATATCAGAGTTAGTGGAACCGTGGTGTTGACAAGACAAGAAGAGGCAGGCTAATTCTTGAGCATAACTGCTGCAAGGGCCAGTCAACACGTGGTGGAGCGAGCGCGACTGACAGCATCCCACTCGTGAGGATGTATCAAGACAAGCCACTGCTTCCACATCAGAACAAATCAATCCTTTTCCCACAGACCCTGCTGCAAGATTCATTATTACCAATGCTTCAAATAAACCCTCTGTTAAGTGTTAAATACACCAGATGTTTGTAAAATAGAATTAAACCTCTCCGGCATCGCGCAGCTGAGCTCCTGACGGGAACACGCAGGCCTAAATAGATCTTGGCTATCTAAATGTGATCGGTCTCCCGATGGGAGATGGTGTTCCCCAAACGTCTTCAGCTGAAAGCATTAAAGGGTTTTAAAAAGTTACACAAAGTAACACAAGGTCGTATCAGCAAGTATGAAGATCGAGCTAAGGTGAGTCTCAGTAGCTGGCAACTACTGACCCATGAAATTGGCATTTCCCACCTTACACATTCTAATTTAAAACCAGCAAGTCCACACTGTACCTCCTATAGCTCATCACTGCACTCTGAGTCAGCGGGTGTGAAAATCCAGTGACAAATCGTAGCACAACCAGGTAACTCTTCCCAAAATATCGCACCGTCTCCTCTTCCACGTTCACATCTCGGATCTCATTCAGCAGAGCCACCACTGCAGACAGACGCGGAAAGCAAAGCTGTCCGTTAGCATCGAACTCCTGGCACTGCTCCTACCGGCTCCGCGACTGGGGCTCTGTGCTCCGATCCCCTACAGGCAATCCCACCACGCCAAACAAGGGCTCAGCTGCTCAGGCAAAACAAACGAGAGGCGACTCGGACAGCACAGTCCCTAGGCAGCACAACACACTGCCTCCAGGAACTGAGGGCCAGTAGTTTATTACTTATCACTCATTGAATTGACATTTTCCATGCAGAGTAAGTAAATGGGTGTTAAGTTTATAGATATTGAACAAATATCAACAGATTTAACCATTCAGAGCATCTGCTGATCTCTGCATCGCTCACGTTAACACTACTTGAAACAGGTATTACCAAGTAACCTCCCGGGAAGAGGTCTGCTTAGCTCCCCAACATACAAACATTCCCTAAAGAAAAGTTCAGAAACATTAAACAGCTCTGACCTTCCACCTCCAAAATGAACTGTTCACAAACCAATTCAGCTTAAGGACATTTCAAATTTTGTCAGTTTTCTAAGCGTATCAAGAGTTGGTTTGATTTAGATTAGCACGTAGGATTTAAAAAAAATTTTAAAAAATCAAACATTGAAGAGGGTCCGACTTCATCTTGCAGTGGAGCTCCTGTCTCAGTGACTCAACAAGCCACATATTATATTTCCACTTGCCACTCCAACAGGGAACTCCTTAAAGAAATGAGACCTCAAGCCAAGGCTACTGAATAGGCTGGTTTAGGTGCATATTATATATCTACAGGATACAACATGCCTGTTTGCATATGATAGCTAAAGATTTGCTTTCTACCAAAACCAGATTAGATTACAAAACTCTCAACTCCTGGATCCAAAATTTAAATTTTTTCCACCAGCCCCACCTGCACAGCAGGAAACGTAAACCTGCACATTGACATCTCAAAAGGAGCGACTAAGACTGTTATGGAAAGCAAAGTATAAGCCCAGTTCATTTGCATTAAAATAACTAACAAGAAGCACTCAACACCCCAGCCTGAAAAGGCGTTTGGGTCCCAAGAGGCAGATTATTACATCTGCTGCCTGCAAACAAAATAAATCTGGAATTAGATGTGACTGATTTGAGTACAGAACTCCAGAGCAGCTTATGAAATGGGCAGGCGTGCATTTCTTCTGCCTGCCCACCACATCTGCTCCCAGCGATACCGCTTTCTCACCTTGCTCATGGCCTCCTTTCGAGAAGGTCAGTATTTTTTTGTAAAGATTGAATGTTTTTAGGCAGACTGTTCCCTTGCTTTTATCAAATATAGCTTCCTGTAAAAAGAAATTAAAAAGTCAATTTTTTTTAATCACACCATTTTTAGCTACAACACAAAGTAAAATAAAAACAGTTATATAGGAAAATAATCTTAGTAACACAGAAAAAACCATAGCTAATTTAGAGACACTCCTCTGTTATCAGACTGTGAAAATCACAATCTTGCTCTTGGCTTTAACTTTACCATTTCTCCCGTGTTACCTGCAGAAGGAAGTTAAAGCTGGTTTTATTGCCCCTCTTGCCACATCCCTCATGTAATAAAAATATTTGCCTGAAATCACATCTGAACACTAACTTGGAGCCCCTCTAACTTTCACTTTTGGCCTCAGCATAAGCATAGAGTGAACATAAGCTCTACTCACACTTTTCACTGACAGTCACTAACTCCACCAAAATTCCAGTGTTGTGCTACACGGGACAGGCTTACACTAGATCTAAAATATCCCTGACAGTGGAAAGAGGATGTCTTATCTGTGTTCCTTGCTTATTCTAATAACTCAGGTCAGGAAGATGACAATCCTATAGAAGAGGTTACTACTCTCAGTCCAACTCCCAATAAATCAGCATCCACAAGATTATAAAACAGCTTTACAAACACCACATTTCCCAGTGGGAAATGGCTGAGTAGCCTGGAAAGTCAGAGCTATCCTGCCTAATGGATGGTCTCACCAGCTGCAGCTGCAAGTACCAAACCACACTGCAGCCACTAACGCACTCGTCTTTCTCCCTCTTTTACACAGGAGCAAGTAACAGCTGCAAAACAGTTTGGGGCAAGTCCGCCTTTACAAAACACCTTTATGTTCGGCTTCATGTTTTCATGCTTACGAAGTGAAATTATTGCCCTAATTCTAGTCCTAGTGCAGCAGCTCCCAAGGGTTTCCTCAGAACCAAAAGCGTCACTTGTCTGTTTGGACTGAGGCTGCTGGAATCAGCCCCCACCAGCTGTTCCCAACCTCAGTTCCCCAGCTCAGCACCTCACCTCCCACTGCTCCAGGTTCTGCGCTGCCACAAAGAAGCACCCGGCCATATAGAAGAGCTTCCATGCCAAACTGTCTGAACAACACAGGAAAACACACAAGTTTAGGTTGATTTTTTTTCTTGGTATTCAAACAGAGTTAAAAGCAACATGCTCCCTCGAAAGGCAACAAAAGGAAAAACAAGTTTCTCTGATGCAGCATGTTTGGTTTTAGTTGTAACGCAAGCTACTTTACAGCTCGCCCCCAGGATAAAAGTACAGAAGCTCTTAACATATTTTTCAAACGCTCCATCCATGCTGGGCTCCAAACTACACAATTACAAGTGTGTGTATTACTGGCAAGGCTGTAACATCACTACTCATCTCTTCTCTAAAAGCAAGGGCATCTTAAAAGGCATCCCCAAAACTCACAGCCACCAAACATTTGTGCTGCAGGGGACAAGGGTAAGGGACAACGGAAATTCACTGCAGCAAGTGCTCCGATAGGAAAGGAAGCAGCCAGCCCTCCTGACAAACTCACACTTGCATTTTTGACCTGCAAATGTTTCCATAGAGCAGCCCAAGCAACTTGCTGCTTACTCCAGCTTTTACGGAAGGCAGAGCAGAGCTGTGCCCAACACCGTTTCAGAAAACTTTGTTGCAATGTCTTAAGAAAAAAAAAAAAAAAAATAGGCTGATGTAGCCAGTGTCCAAGCAGCTTTCACTGGACTCTGCTCCTTAAAAAATATGTTGAGTATATTGGTAGCAGGGTGCTACCTGCTCTTAGGTTTTAAAATCCAACATTAACAGGATGCGGCAAGAGAATCACAGGACAGCCTGCAGGATAAACTCCTCAGAGGAAAGAGTACCCGGGATTTAGTGCTCTGCTCTACTGCAAGGGGGCAGGAAACAGCAGCAGCAGCAGCCTCTTCTCTAAAGGTGTTTCTGTGAGTAATCTCTGCCAGTGACAATTTACCAGTTTGGGACAGAGCACTCCCATCAAAGGCAAGGCAATCATTTCATTATGGTGGCAAACAATTACACGTCTTCCCAGGAGAGCTGTGAGCACCAGCTAATCCCATTTATAAAACACACTGAAAGTACAAAATGCCCCAGAGTACTAAACACCATTATTAAAAACACTCTTGCAAATGGAAAGGGAGGCTGAGTAAGAAATAGAGCATTAAAGCACATTAAAGCAAGCCATACACAGGAAACAATTACTGGATTTTAATATTCACACCATGAAGTGTGAGAGGTACCTCTGCCGCCTTTGTAAGGCCAGACAGAAGCTGCAGAGTTGAGTCTTCAGCATGAGAAACAGATCAATAGGAAATAAACAATTCGGAAAAAAAACCATGATAGACCATTACCTGCGCTATAATAAGCCGCAGCCAAACCGATGGAGGCTATTCCTAGGATGAGAGGGGAGAGAATTAGGACAAACAAGCAGCTCAAACCATCTAAAACTCCCTGATGAAAAACACAGCCATATTCACAATTTTTTTTTTTTTAAAAAAAAAAAGATAAATGTGATTGCAACACTGATCACTATATGCAAGTCTGTTATTTTTCCTGCAAACTCAGTATAAAAACCCTTCCCATTCTGCAGAGCCACGAAAAGCACAGGGGCTGTGGTCAGCAATAAAAGATCCTGACAGAATCAGGACCAGAAGTTCAGAGGGACTCTCGGTCTCACCAGTACCCTGTACTTCCTCTCGAGCGCAGCACAACTTGGAGCGTCAGACCCCCAGCACCACAACGGTCACGTTTCCCTCGAAGGGCAGCCAAGAGAAAACTTCTGCAGTCAAGTTGTGGCAGAAGCTGCCAGCTCCTTTATGCAACAAGGCTGTGTCAGAAGCCGCCAGCTCCTTTCTCCCCCGGAGGAGGACGCAGCAGCAGATGACCTCATGCCCCGGGCGGGCTGCTGCCACTGCGAAGATCTTGTCTCCGTGAGTTTGACAAGACAACGCTGCTCAAAGCAACGCCAGCGCCGCAGCACTCCTGCAACGGGATCTCCGCAGCTGTACAGCAGGATGTGCCACATCCTCCCCACCAGCTCTCTCCGTGTGCTCCCAAGTGCCATCCACTCTTTTTTTCCTGCTTCTTTAGCGTTCAAAACCAGATGCCTTTCAGAACGTCCTGTACGACTTCCTATGTCACACACGCAGCGCCACCGACACACACCGTCAACCACGCGCAAGCACAAACCCCACCAGCGCTCCGCCACAGATTTTTCAGTGTCTGAAAACCTACGTGTGTTCCAAGGTAAGTATGAATCCCCTTCAAAAGTTCCACATTTATATTGCTACACAGCACATCATGAACTTTCTTTTCTTCACCTTCCAGGACTTCCTTAAAATGCTGTCTGTGAGCCTCTGAGGTTCTACACAGGACAGACTGAAAAACTATCAGTCTCACACTGAAACGACCACACTGGGGAGGAGGCTTCAGACTCATTTAGTGGCTGCTAAAGGAGAAGTTCAAAGCACGGATGATTCCTTGTCTTGAAAGAAAACTGCCTGAAAGACAGGCATCTCTCATTTCTTTCAGGAATTCATTCTGTGACTCCCTTCCGCTTAAAGCAAGATCTGAAATAAACTGAGGAATGTTATGGTCTTACCAACAAAGAGAGACCAAGATCGGATGCCAGGTGACCTCTTCAGATGAAGGTAGGAACTGGTGCGGTTTTCAACCAACATGTACATCTTCAGAAAAAGCTCCCAACAGCCCAGTCTGACTCATGAAACCGCACTAGACAAAAAAAAGTAACAATTTAAAATCATTATCAACTTCAAGACTCACTCACAGCATTTTCCAGGACTTACCAAGTCTTAATCTAGACTATAAAAGATGGCCAGGGTAAGAACATAGTCTTTTTCTCAGGAAAGCAGCAATACACCGACTTAAAAAAACTGCAAAGAAAAACAGCTTGTTTACTGTTGAACGTAATGAACACACCTTCTACTGGCTTGACGCTTTAACTCTTAAATAGCCAACTCTTCTGCCCACAGAACCAGCTCTTAGTACGTTCGCATTAAGCTGTTGTTAGTTGTCTGTGAAAACAGGTTTCCAAAAGAATGCCAATATTCAGTAAGTTTTTGAATAACCAAGAAAAATACTTAGAGAGCAGGCCCAAGAGCATCCAGGTTCTGACGGAAGGAAAGCACGCAATTTTTAGTCCTTTAGTCATCTTGTTTTTCTTAGATACTCCATGACACTCCTGCAACTTGCACCAACTGGTTACTTTAGATAAAAAGCTCCAGGAAGTTGGTTTTTTCCCATTTAAGAAGCAGGCTTACCCAAATCTTTTCAGTTAAATAAAAAGCACATATGACTTTGATTTTAATCTCTCGGCAACACATCTAAGAGAATCCGAAACCGAAAGAGATAAAACCACTTACACATAAGACACACTCCACCTCCTCCGGATGTCGAGCATCAAACTTGAATTTTCAAATTACTCCCACGAGCTGCTCTCAATATACCAGAAAACGTTTCTGTGTCCACAAAGCCTTCTCCTGCCTGCACCTGAAGAAAAAAACAGCAACAAATTATCAAGTAAGTAAAGATCACTGCAGAAATCTGACCGTATTTCACAAACAACACACCCTATTTATAATTCATAGACATACCAGGTAAATCCATTAATGCAAACTTTGGCATCTCCCCCCATAGTAATTCAGTGAAATCCAAACATGCCGACCTCAAACTCGGCGTCAGGTCTCCCCCAGAGGCAGGTGCCTGCAGGATCGGTGCCTCAGGGAATAAAATGCCCTAAACCAGCTTATTAAAGTCACACTTAATAAAAGAAGCCATAAAGGTACCTACGAGTAAACACAAAAGCTTTGCTGTAAGGATTTTACAATTGCAGAGAGAGAAAGGTATTTCTGGGCTAATTTTACTCGAATTCGGCGGGTTTTACTCGGAACTGCTCTTCAGCATCAAACGAAGCGCTCACACGCTTTCTCCAAGCTCTCGACCGAGGGAGAGTTCGCAAAAACGACCTGAACCAGCACCCTGAAACCTTCACCGCGAGCATCTACCCAGCCAGGACCACGCAGGGCGATGCCTTTCCTGCCCAGCCCCGCAGCTCACACGGGATCCCACCGGGCCCGGCGCCCCTCCCGCCC